GCAGTTCAAGAAATATTATATTTCATAACTTTCTTGCCGGAATTTTTCCAAAACTGTTATCTAAATTTTAGCTCGGGTGGATGTTGAAGACATTTTAAGTGTTATATGGCTCTTGATAGCAAACTAATTTGTAAACTATATATGTACGTGCAATTCGGAATAATACGTGATTTTGAATTACTGCTAATAATAAAAAAAACTTTTTCAATTTATTCTCTAAACTGCAATTTTTAAAATTACTTTAATTTAAAAAGAATATAAAATAAATTGTAAATTGATAGCTGCTGCGTATTGTCAAGTAATTTTATCGAAGTGAATTGAATAAATTGATTTTGACGTCAAGTTTATTAGACAACAATTAAATTTTTCATCATAATTGCAACATTTACGTGATAGCTGATTTCCCAATGTCTCATTTTATTGTTTTCGTTTAACAAATTATTAAAAACTTAAGTTTCGGAAAAAGTAATAACTCGAAAACCTTGAAAAACAAATCGGGGTTTAGGTTTTTCTTTATGAATAGAATTCAATACTTCCTTATGCTACGTAAATTACCAGCAACCTATTGCAACCAAATTAAAAATTATATTTAGCAGCTGCAACGATTTACCAGCAAAATTCATATTCATTCTCCTTCGCTCGAAATATTTTAAAATACGGTCATTATAATTCGGTCATACTCGTATTAAAAAAATTTAATTTCCATATTTTTTAATAATCTTAATTACAATAAACTTCAATAGGTTCTGAATTTTTTATGAATTAATAAATAATAAGAATTTTTTATATTCTAGATTTTGATAAAAGTTATTCATTCCAAGTTTTTTTAAAATTCCAGAAAAAAATTATTATGAAATAAAATTAGAAAAACGTGCACGCTTCAAAATGGTTTGTGCTCTTGTTTAAAAACACCAATAAATTTTAATATTACGGCCCAATTTTAAATGTGAATTGAATTAACAATTAATTTTCAAATTTGTTTTTCTATTTCGAATGTATAAATATGAAAAAAAACGGAAAGCAATTTTTGTTCTTTGTTCTGGAGAAATACATAGTTTCTTGCCTAAGTTATTCCATATTGTAATTTGGATTTCCAATAAAATCGTGTAACTGTTTAATAACACAAAATAATGAGCTGCAACTGATATATATACATTTCAAAAATGAATTTAAAATAAAAAAATTTTAATTTAGAAAACGATGATAATGTTAATCTAATTTTGAAATCTCTGTAACTTTTACCGATATTTTAGTTAACCTGTTTTATGTTGGAGTTTAGTCTGAGAAGCGAATCTCTTAGTGATAGAATTAAAAGATACTATATTCTTGTATAAACACAAACCCAAACCCATTGGTGTAGATGATTGCATTCCATATGGTAGAATTTTTAAAATTTTTACAATACTATCACTTTTGGTTATTAAAATTTTTTGTTTTAGAATCTGACACATTTTGCTTTTGTGAGTTGACGTAATTCTTTCACAAAAGTTATATTGAAATCCTCAATTATGAACTGGTTAAATGTGAAACATTGTTAAGCAGATATCGTGAGCAATTAGTGATTACTGTCCATTGCTTCTTAGAAAACTTTCTCAAAATTTTTGGAATGACATAGGAAACTGATAGTTAAACATGTTTTCAAACAATTTCTGTATAAAGTGTTTCGAAATCAATGATCATTGTGCTGAATTACTATACTCGGCAACTTTATTTAGCAGGTCTCTCAAAACTTCCTTGCTTCTTTGGTCTAAAGGTCTAAATCTCTTCAATACCTTTACGATGGTATTATGTCGCACGATTACAATTTTACTTCTCTATTTCAGGCCCGTCTTAAAAAATTCTTCTAACCTGAGTGTCGAATTAAGTTTGCAGATTTTCAAAGCACTTTGTGCCTCGTACTACATATAAATGTATTTGACAAACATCTACTGTGATAAACAAGAGTTTAGAAATTTTTGAGGTATTAATTTGGAATGCACAATGTGTTGTTAATACCAGTTCTCAATAAATACCACCCAACTTCAAAATTATATAAAACGAATCATTTTGTATTAATTGCAGCTCATCACTTAAGTTTCATGACAAGTTCAACAAAAAGTCAATTCTATTTACAAAACGTACTACTGCAAAAGAAATTGCTGGAAATTTCTCAATCTTTTGATATTTAACAAAATCGTACATTCATCTTTGAAATACACACAAATTTTAATTAAATTCCTGTCAATTAAAATCTATTTTCATAAACAGCGTTTTATAATATTATATAAAAAATTTTTTTACATAATTCACTTATTATCAAAAGCTCATTCAGAATGACATGAAAGTAACACATGTGTTAATTAATTTTTCTTTTTCATTTTTCCTTTCTTACACATTATATAACATATATACAAGATTAATACATATGTACACATATTTAATAGGACATGTAATACTTGCAAATATAGAACAATTTTTCATAAAAATTTCTTTAAAAAAAATATCACACTAATAAATTATGCGATATATAGAAACTCTTTTCAAAAATTCTCATTCCATAAACTTTGGATTTTAATGGGGCCGACAAGTTATTTCTTAAAATTCCTACATTAATAATAAAAGATCCATGTATCCTTGAATATTAAAATTGATTTTTTTTTTTTTGAAAACATTAAAATTTAGAATTACATGCTGTTGCGCGCTGCACACTATGTATACATAATATAATTTGCTGTCTTGTCAACAGCATTCCTTGATTAAGGATTAAAATTTATACCATCTGTATAAAATTTGTATCATATTATATTTAAAGGAAAAATCAACAAATATGGAGAGAAGCAAGTAAAATCTTGTAAAAATAGCTCCATGGGATTCCATCATCTAAATTTTAATAATTTTTCTTTTTCGTTTTCATTCTCTCTAAATTTTTAGATTAATTATTTTTCATATTTTTATAATAAAAAGTATGTATGTATGTACAAAATCATGCATATAATATCCTTGCTTCTCAAATATTTAATTCATATTACGAACTTTGTCGTTTTTTTTCTTTTGTTTGATTAATTAACATCATCATCAGAAATTGAAAGGAAGTGAAAAGGAATTCATCAATTTTATATAAGAATTTTATTTTTATTGTGTTTTTTTTTTTACAAAAAATATTTTGTTCAATTTTGTGTTTCTTAAATGTAATAAAAATATTCTCCTTGAGTGTATCCTTAATTTTTTCTATTCTCAAGGAATATTCTAAGTATTTTATACTTTTATAAACTTCTCTTTTTAATAATTACCGCGCGATTCAATACCATGAACTTCTTTGACGTAATCAAAATTTTATAATAATTTTGAAAATTAAGTAAAAGATATGCTAAAATTGCAAACAGGATATTCCACTATTCATGAATTTGTTCGGATGAAAATGTTTAAATAATTGGTTTCGAGCGGAGTTCGAAGCAGTTTATGTAGATAATCTAAACAGTAGTACGATAGTGCTAAGAAAAAATTAGAATGTCTACAAAAAATTTTAAAAATCAAGCATAAAATGTTTTACATATATGTGTGGTTATATATTTGTTTATATTTGTTCTCGAAATCCATTAGTGAACGATGCAATGTTCAGGAACAAACGCTTGCTAAAATTAATTAATTTGAAACTACATAAAGTAACATGAGTTAAATCTCAAGCCGATATGAGTTATTAATTAAATCCATAAGGCAACTTGAGTTAAAAATATTCCTTAAGATGTTTAGTTTATTTTACTACACAAGGCAGTGAATCTTCTTAAAAAATGTCGATATAATCTTAATTATATTAATCAGTGTTGATCATTAGATAATTGATGTGTTTAAAAAGTTATACAGCAACGACAACACTAAAATAAGATGCGCGGGTGATAAGTGGCATCATCGTAAAACGTAATTTTCTTTTTCAGAAAATAAAGAGCGTATGCCATAATTGTTTAATATATTATTTCTGCTTTTATGCTAACAATGAATTCAAATAATTTTCAACTTTCACCGTGAAGGTAATCTGTTTAATTAATAATATTTCCATTATTAATATTGCCTTAAGATCTTAATTCACAATTCAATGACCAAATATACTTTACTCGCTAACTCGTTTATTGTAGTTTACGAGATTTAATTTCTACAACCATTTTTTAATTTAAATTTTCAACTATTTTTCATAATACCTATAGTGATTCTTCATACAAACACTTTGTAACATCTAAAAATTTATAAAAATATTGGACATTCGCCCATGAACTGATATTTATATTAACCTATATTAACGCATGAGCCAAAATTTCTACTGAAGGGTAATTAAAAGTTAAGCTTGATGAACACTCTGTACCAACTACAAGTATTTGTACATTTACCTATACACGTATAATTGAAATATATACAAGAACTTCAAATTTAGGAATTCTTTTCTATCAACTATTTAAGAAAATCAACAAAACATTAATTATCTAAATATTTTTCAAAGGATAATAATTATTTATCTATGTACTAATAATTAGAGAAATATTAAATTATAAAAATAGTAGAAAAGAACAGTAGCGGTATATAATAAATTATATAGTTCAGGAATAATAAAATGTTATTATCCTTGAAAAATATTCCGACTTCTTAGAATAAAATATTAGGCAGCATATTGTGAATTACACAAATAACCTTGTTGAGAGGGTTAAACAATTAAAAATCAATTAGTATAGGTTTACTTACGAAAGTTTTAATATGAAGAAACTATAAACCTTGTATAGGATATTTTTATGTAAGTTAGTAAATTAACATTCTCTGAATAGAATTTACTCAATCAGTGTTTTTGGATTGAAAACTTGGTAAAATTAAATTGTCCTTGTAGACATACATTGACACTATAAGATTACTGGAAAAACTATTTTTAGATATAACAAATTTTCCCTTGAAACCACAGAACTATATTAAATTTGAATATTAAATCATATATTTAATTTAAAAATAACCAAATCAATAACCTTCCTCTTCTATAATTACAGAGAGTAATTTAATGGGTGCATCTGAATGGACATCAGGTTATGGTCCAGTTGGTCCAACTGTATCCTCTACAAGTGCATATGGATCATATTCAACATTACCGCCAGGAAATACAACAGCATATGCAACATATGAAACACCACCAAATTCATTAGATCATCATCCAAATTATCATATACCAACTGTATTAACAGATATGCAACCATTTTGTGGTGCATCAACAACAGCTGATTATCATCATACAGCAGCGATAGCACCAACAGCTGGTGCAGCTAGTGCAATAATACCAACTCAACCACCAACAGTATGTAGTCCACCATATGGTTCAACAAAGTCTGAAATCGATCAATTTAATACGACTGGAGGTTATCCAGCAGCTGCAGCTTATAATAATTGGTCAAATGGTTATAATAATTATCAATATGGTAGTTGTGCTGCACAACCACAATATCCGGGACCAACACCACCAACAATGGTCCTATATCCACAATTATATTCAACAGTTAATCAAAATCAAATACATTTACATTTACATGGAACTGAAAAATTAGAACAATATTTAGGTCCTGAAAATGCTGTTACAATTAGTTCAATTGCTGCTGGTACACGTTTAACTGGTGGTATCGGTGTTGGTGGTGTTGGTAATGGTGCTGTTGAAATTGGTATTGGTACATCTGATCATGATATTGTTGGTGGTGGTGGCGGTGGTTTACAAGAACCGGATCACACAAATCATGATCAAGATCAACATCAGACACATCGAATAGAACATCATAGACAACAAGATGATGAAGTTACCGGTGATCCAGGTAGTGTTTGGAGACCATATTGACATACAGCCACATTATATTGGAACTGAATTAAATTGAAATTTTTTTTTTTTTTTGAATAAATTTTTTAATTGTTATTAATTTTATTATTAAACATAAAAAACATAAAACAAAACAAAAAAATTATTAAAATTTTTTAAAAAATATTTTTAAATTTATTTTTAATAAGTCAAGAGGCTTATAAAAAAAAACATTTTCAATAACAAAAAAAGAAAAAAAAATATTTTTAATTTGAGTCAAAAGACTAACTTTTTTAGAATTTATTTAATTTTTATTGTAAATTTAAATAAATCTATTATAGTTTAATAAAACCTTATATTTAATTTGAAAAAATTTAAAAAAACAAAATGTAAATTAATTGTTAAAATTTTATTAGAACATTCCAAAATTATTGGTAATAATTATTACAAAGCATATTATGTCTGACACAAAAAAATATCATGCTATATTTCCAATTTTAAGTTAATCAAAATAATTTTTGTACCACAAACCAAATTCGCAGAACTTTAAAGAAAAGCGTTGACATTAAGAGCGATCTAATCAAAAACTTAATTTTAGAAATTTGTTCTCAATTTATGTAGTTGAATTTTAAGCACTTTTCTAATAAAAAAGTGTTTATTAGTTTCACTCTGTCCGCCCGTCCGTTCGTCTGTGGAAGAACCATATTATCTGTCTCCCCTATAAAAGTTATAGCCCCTCAGTGTTTTCACATGTTTAATTGAAATATGCTACTATACTAACCATTGATATTACCCAACTTTATATAAGAAATTTTTGAGCCAAGTATAGGTAATTATAAGCACATTACGGAGCGTAGAGAAGAATTTATAATTTTAATTCATGTATGGTGAAATTAACAGAATTCTAAAATTTTTACACTTAGATTATACGCTGTGATTATTGTAGCCATATTTTATTGCTTTACCGACTATTTCATTGAAATCAAGGAGTGTTTTAAGTTAATGTCAATGGCTCATTGTAGATAATGCAAATATTGTGGAAATAAGACCAGGATTTAAAAATTAAAAATTGTAAAATTATGTTTCCGTTTAGTTTTAATACATATGTATTTTAATTTTAACACTTCAAAATCATCTACATTTTAGATCCCTCTTAATCCTTACAGCTTCCCTCTTAAATTATTTTTAAAATATCAATCATATTTAATTAAAATTTAAAAAAAAGAAAGGCATTTTCAAAACTAAAGACTATGTTAGCTTATTTTAAATTTTATATTAAGATTTAGAAAAATAATAAATCCATATAATATTAATTATACATTCATACAAACATAATGTAAATATATAAATTATATAATAGGAAAACAAAAATATAGTTCAAGTATAAATAATTTTTATTTTATAAAACAGAATAAATTTTTTTATTGATATTTTTCTGAATAATTACAATTTATAATAATATAATTATGTGTAAATAAATAAATAATTAAAATAAATCTAAATTAGTTTATATACAAAACAATAATAAATTCAAGAAAAAAAAAATAATAATAATAAAAATTAAATATTATTGCCATTTTTAAAATTAAAAATAAAATCAAGTGTTTTCAATTTTATTTTAATTTAAAAATTAAGACAAGCACCTGACTTTTGCAAACCTATTACGTGGATACCTATAAATGCTCGTATATTTTTAGAAAGCCCCTATATTTGAATCGAATATCGTTCTTAATATTCTACTTTAACTGCGATATTAGAATGAATTTTATATATTCATGTGTACATAGTTAGCTAGCCAGCCCAAGATTAATTTTTAAATACGCAGTAGGAAAAAACAATATATTTCGTTCTAAAAAAAAAAATTATTGGTAAATTTCCAAAAATGCCAAATTTTTCGTTCTAAAAAAAAAAATTCATTTCCTAATTGAAAAAATAGTAAGTAAAAAGTGGAGTATTTTGCATTTAATTAACATGAAAGTAATTTAGAAGGATGTCCTAAATTAGATTATAATGTCGCTTGCTAAACCTTTTTATCTCGAAACTAAAAATATGTTTAAAATTTCTCAAACATAGAAAATCAGGTCTTTCTTTTCTATGATTTCAAAATATCAATAAATCCAAATATAACCTTCAAGACAATAACTATGTTGTTTAAAATTAGATCTTGTTATTTTTAATCAATTTGAAAATTTCAACAACTCGTAAATTTTTGATTTAACTTTTGTGAAATTTTGTGGCCACTTGTGTATGTCTCTATATAAACAATATAAGCTAATAAAAATTATTTGAAATCCAAAAGTTATGAAGGACACTTCGTCCTTGCAAACAGTTTTGTCAATAAAGTTAGAGAATATCCATCTTGAATAACTTAATTGTAAGCCGAGCTTGAAAAAAAAAATGAAATTTAATATTGTTTCTCATCTTTATTATGAACACATATTGAACTGCTCCGAAATGTATGCAACAAAGTGTGATACAGTAAGTGAATAATAGAAATGAAAATGCGTCTCCCTAAAAGTGAATCTTAACGTGTATTCTACACCAATTAGTCAAATTTAAGTAAAATTGATTTAAGATCTATCTTTAGTTTTTGTCCGAAAATTTCATTAAAATGAGTTAAAATTTAAGTTTTGACTCAAATTGTTATACTACAGTGTACTGCTTTGCAAAACATTGATAATTGGCCGACTTCCTCTTTATAAGTGCAATTTATTAATTAAAATTATTGGACGAAATGTTGAAAGTTTGTTAGTGAAATTTAATAAAATTATATATAAGATCACACATCCACATTCAAGTATAAGTATAAATTAATTTTTACTCATATTCGGCTGATTCTAAATAAATTGCAACATATTCACATACAATTATAACAACTATAGACATACTCTCCTATAGATACGTACGTATGTATGTAGCCCGAATGTTTATAAATCTATAATTTTATTTTTAATTTATAATTAATTTAATCTTAGTTAAAATATTAAATTACCATTTATTATTATTAACTTTTTTTATTTTTACCTTTGTGTTTTTTTGTTTCTTGTTTATTTTTTTTTGCTATAATATATTGAAAGCTACTTACCGCAAAACTGAACGCAGAAACGTTATTTTATGTAGATAAATTTTTTTTTTTATTATTTTGTAAAATATTCAATTTCATCCAATAAATAAATTATTTACATTATATTACAGACTCTTAAAACTTAACTAGCCTTATAAGAGTAGATCTAAATAGTATACACATAATATGATGTAAGAAAAAAATAAAAATGGAGGCAATTTTAATTTATATGTAGAAAAGAAAACAGTTGTAACTGTTAACTAAAAGGTGCACACTTAATCTGTATAATATTATACTCTATTATACATACTCTAGATTAAGAATAATACATTTAAATTTAAACCTTTATTACGTTTTCTGCCAATCCTATAAGGTTCTATGTTAATTTCTTGTCATTTATTTAAATGACATAATATACTTGTCGACATACTTTGTCTACTTTAGGAGAAAATGAAATATTACATAGTTGCAAATATTGTTTTGTACCTGTAGGATGTCGTAAAGTATACTGCTTAAAATAGTAGCTCTGTAGATCGCCAAACACATAGTTTAATAACTTTGATAGCAAAAATAGAGTGTTGCGGCAAAAATTCTATATTCGTGTTTAGTGTTTCTGTATAGCAAATGAACTTTTGATAATTAGAAAACTGTTGTTTATATTTCGGGAAAATTTTACATTACAGCTACAATACAAATCAGAAAGTATTTCTATATTTCCATAGATTAACAAGGATTTTAAATTCTATACATATAATTGTCTCGAAGCATACCTATGCAAAATTTAAAGTTCATATAATCATATCCACCATATATATGATATGAAAGGTATATGAATCTAAAATAACTCAAGATTTTAGAACAAAAATATTTCTAATATTATTTAAAATTCGATTCTAACATGACAATTGCCATAAATTATAATATATACTTCTAGAAACTTATACAGAATTATGTAGTCGAAATTTTAGTCATGCTATAAATGAAATACTAGTATGAAAGTTGCTTAGAAACAAAATTTATGCTTATAAACCGATTTCCGGATAAGAAAATTTCCAGCAAACGAAAATCGGTGAGTTTTCGAATGGCTTATAAACTAATCCAACTGTATTTTCAGACAAATTTTCAAGCCATTTGAGTTTTTAACACGAATGAACTATTGGGTATTGAAGTAATTAAACTGTGCACGACTGTTTTTCAAGAAACCGATTTCAAACTAAATTTATATCTAAACTTATTTTTTGTGTCAAAAAAATTATGAACAGTTTTATGTCTTTTATTAGTAAATTTTAAATTTCTCTCTTGTTCCTTATTAATTAAGCATAATGATTACATTTTTCCAATATATTATGCCCTTTAGTAATTATAGTGTTCTCCCACAATCCTTATATATGATTAAAAGTTTCTTCAAGAACAAATTCTATATTAATGAGTTCTAACAAATATTTCGTATATATTCAAAACGAAAAATCAAAATTTAAATTAATTTTTTCAATAACCTTATTTTTATATAATTAAAAAGGCATACTCCATTCTCTACATCAAAATTACATTATTATTAATTTTTTTTCATTATTCTATATATTAATATGAAAATAATAAAATTAAATAGTCTGATTTTAAAAAATCTATATATACCAATGGATACTATAAACACATACATATACATTTATATGTAAGTACAAAATTGTGAAACAATGTGATTGCAAAATATTATAGTTTAAAAAATAATAAAATAAAATCTGTTATATTTTTATGCAAACTCACATACATATTATATAAAATTTATTTATATGCAAAATATAATAATAAAAATATGTAAAAGAGTAAATTTGATACGATTTTGGTTGTAGATGTCAAATTAATTTTTCACTTCATTAATGATAGAGCCCAAACTATTGGGCTCTATATAAAAAAACATACACATATTGTGTGTATATTTTATACTTGTATAACATTTTAATAAATTTATAAAAATATAATAATATAAAAGTACGTATAT